TGGAATCCTGAGTCTCATCCAGAACCTTATGAGGTGGGACATTCCCACTAGAAAGGACAAGCAGACTGGAACAGCTACAGTGACAGAAGATTCATCTTCAAAGGAAGATCATCCGGAAAAACCCAAAACAAAATGTCAGCATGACTGGCTACTACAAGAATAAGCAAGCTGTTGGCCAGAAGACATCAAGGCTAGCAATCAAGTGCCTTCAGGACAAACTCCCCTCTAAGACTGAAACTCAAAGGGAATACACAAACAACCATGTAAACTTGCTGGCGACCACAATGGTCTACTGGTGAGTGGAAGAGGCAGAATGGCATCAATGAAGAAATGGGCTTAGTAAAACCCCAGTCCACTGAATCCCGTTGACCTGGATATGAGAGAGAGAAGAGGAAGGGCTGGTTGGTCCAAAGTTTGGTGAGACCGGATGACACTTGAGCCCATGGACAAGGACTTAGCCACAGAGGGCTAGAGCTGAAGCATCCAGCTGATATAAAGTGAGGGGAGATGCACAAGAACACCCAAACTTGCATACAGTACCCTTTTGACCTAGCCTCAATGGCCTGATAATCAGAACTCGACTAGAGGAAGACTGGAAAAAAAAAAAATTTTTTTTTTTTGATAAAAGGAAACGGGTAAATTGCATCAATTTGATGAACCTGACCTATACTCAGTGACTGGCTTACAAGGTTTCAAGAGGGAGTTTAGTTTAAGAGTATGGGGGGAAAGAAAGAGTTCCCACTGAATAGCTGTCATCTTGTCTAGATGGGTCTGGTTAAAAGAGATGGGGATAAGATTCCTAAGATTCAATAGTGAATAACTGTTATCATGACTAATCACGACTGTCACAATTGTAAAGATAGAAGTTTTATAACAAAAACAGGGGAGTGGTTCAATCACCCATAAGGAGAAGCAACTGAAGAACATCAATGAAGTGGTGAGCTAAGTCCTGCATCATTCATCAGACTACCGGGAACCCGGGTGGAGACTTGGTCGGCCAGCAGCAAGGCAGGACCCGGGGACTCGTGGGCTCAGAGTCAGAGACACAGCCACAGAGAACTAGACTGGGGAGCAAAGTGATCAGCTGATAAGAAGAGGGTGGAAAGACGCGAGAACACCCACACTTGCAGATGATACCCACTTGACCTGGCTTCAATAACTGGATGAACAGAGCTTAACCTGAAGAAGAAAGAAGGGGTGGGGGGGGGGGAAAAATAGTGTCATCTGATACAACTTGATAAACTTGACCTGCACCTATAAATGCAGCAACTCAAAAGAGGAAACAAATTCCTACTTCAAAAATTACTCCTACCCTCTCTGCACAAAGAGAAGACAGGGATTGGCAGTTATGTCAAAAAGACCAACGGTGGCATCCTGAAGTTTCTGAAGAGTGAAAAGGGAAGCCCATTTCCTGATCACATCTACCTGGAGGCAATCAGAAAGCATAAAGAATACCAACGTACTAATGCATCTAAGAATTAAGGCCACAGATAACCCCTGAATTTTCCCAAAAAACAGAAGATGACCATATCTGCACATGTCAAGAAACGAGGTAAAGTGACTGAAGCAAATGAGCTGAAAGTAGACCTACAATCCATACTGGATGATGGGCAGGCTTTGGAAATGCCAGAGAAGGGATTCAGAAAATTAATATAAAATGTATCAAAACACTATATAATGGTATTGAGAAAAATAAGGAAGAAGTCAGGAAAGCACTATAGGAACAATCAAATAAGATATACGCAGCATTGGAAACAATTCAAAACCTACATAAAGAAGTCCAAACAATTAATAATAGAATATCAGAAATGGACAATACACTGAAAGGGCAAAGGAGTAGAATTGAAGAGATAGAA